CTGGAATTTTAATTAACTGCGACTGATCTAACAAGCAATTAATTCAGCATTCATTACTTGTTAGGTTGATTATTACTTAAATTTAGTTTTTTAAAGCTTGCTCATTTTATTGGGAATCATCCCACGAGAATGCTAACCCTAGCAGCAAGGATTCTCAGACTTGGAGATAGCAGTTTCCTCTGTAATCCAGACGTGGGTTAGCGATTTGTCAGCCTTCTCCTCTAGAAGCAGACAAACAACCCCCTTGTTTAAAAATACCTAGCATTCTCACAAAAATTACAGCAACTGCTAATAGGAAGGTATATGATGCTATGAGAAGTATGCAGAAAGAGTTTTTTAAAAAGGGAAAACTGCACTGTTTGCTTTTCTTCTGTTTGATCACTCTCCTCACTGCACTCATGCGTTGTATAATCCATCTGTTGCATGGCAGTCTATGACAAAGTCTGGGGAGCTGATGCTAAACTACAGAACTTTTTGTCGTTAAACTAATTCAACACAGTCTTGGAAGCCAACCTTCCATACTTAATCTCCCTTTTGTTCCCCTCATTTCTTCACTCTGCCCAGTTTAACTTATTCTAGACTGCCTGGAACCAAAGCAACCTGAGCCATTCAAAACAAGATTGCCACATTAAGGATCTGGTCAAAATGGGAATACAACCTAGGATTCCATCTAATCGACTCCCCATGGTTTAGGCATCCATGCCTAGCTAAGCAAACCTGACAGACAACTTTCTCATGTAAAACATACATTACAATACAATCCTAAATATGCAATGCAAGTAGCAAATGTTTGGTATTTACGGATTAATTGCTAAACTACTGTGCTGTCCTGAGAAGGACCTCTCCATAAATACCAAGTAAACTGGCATAAAAAAATTAATCCAGGAAGACAACTAAGGATGGATACATCTGTATTTCTTACAACATTCAAAAGATACACAACATTCTGTCTATTGCCTCATGAGTCAATGAAGACGTGAACTGCATCAACTGGGAGAGTCGCTTCACCTCAGGCAATCGGTATTATGGTTCCATTGAAGACTCAGTAGTACGGACCTCAAAAATCTTACCTTTTGATAGCGGGTTCTCAAAACCTCTTTCCTCCAAACAGGTATGAGGCTGGCCCTTAGTCAGCTCCTTATAAACACCTTAGAAAGGTTTGTCTCCTCTTCAGCATGAGCAGTTCTTCCCTGAAGTACAATAATAGGGTTAATTAGCAGCCAGTTCTCAAATCAAAGTACAATTCATGGAAAAAAAACCAAAGGTAAGTTGCAAAATTGTAAAAGAAAAAAAAACACAGAAAAATCACCTTAAAATTAACAGATTCTCGATATGCCTTAACTTGCAATTACCCTTTTTTCACGAGGGAACTCTGGCAGGTTGGTTACAGTCCCATACCCATAATTCTTAAAATCATAAATAGTCAGGTCGAGGTTATAATTTGATACAGATTATTTTTCACTGGGCTGGTGATAATTGCTGAGATGATATGAAATTTCAAGAGCCTTGTTTCACCTGCAATCATGATTTGATTTCCTCCCGGTCACCTCCCTCCCACTTTTTTAAATCCTGCAGAAATCCCCACCACTAAGCTAGAAATGTAGTCCCTAGCAAGTCCACAAACACACATGTAGCATTAGTGCAGCTGTTTGCTGGTATATTCTACAGCTTCTGTCGTAAGGTGAATTACCAAAACCACAAGTGCTGTACTACTAGAGTGGCTCTTAAGCTAAAACGACCTTCTCAGTGCACTGTGAATAGACTTGATATCCACAAGTATTTTGCCATTGAAGTTACTTATTAGAATAAAAAGGAAGAAAAGAAAAATAATTAAAAAATACCTAACTAAGCAAGCACGCACTGCTTATTTTTAAGAAGGGTCTTTATGTGATTTTAATGAAGCATACACAATGCAAGTTATCACAATTTCATACTCACAGTTTTTACCATGTATTTTACAATGGTAAATTTTACATGGTTATCCAAAAGACTTGCAAGCCGCTTCTCAACATACTTAGTTTGCATCTCACATAAGTAAAACTCTTACTCAAGCTAAAATAATAGCTGTTTCAGAAAGAATTTCAGAATTTGGCCCATAATGAAACAGCTTATTTAAAATTGGTAGTTTGACAGAAAACACACTAAATGCATTAACTACTCAGCTCTCCTTTTGAAGTGATCGACAGTTATCATTCTCACAGGGCAGTGCTATGGAAACATTAAAAGTTTCAATCATTCTGCGGCAACTGCACATTCCTGTTGTGCAAAAATAAAACTGAGGCACAAGTAAAGGAAATGACTTGCTCAAAATCAATCCAGTCAGCAGGACTGGAGTGCATAGAATATGAATTTCTGAAGCCCATTTTTGCTACAGCCTTCATCATTCAGAGCTCACTAATGAGATATGTGCCATTTAAGTCACATTCCTGTCATTGTAGCTTGATGAAACACAAAATCCTGTTTTTTCCCAATCACTGATTCTGTACTGTGTCATGTTTAACTGTTTGATGAGACAGCCTTTATTTCAGATGCAGTTTTCCTGCATTTTCTAAACACCCTGTAGTTTATTGTTTCCCTTACCTTATTAAAAATATTATTAGAAAAGTGCTTATGTTATATACTTTCAGTTTATCAGTTAGTAATTCCTATGACTACTTGATCATTTGGGCTTTTTTACTCCATATTTGAATCTTTATTTGGTGTGGTCTGACATAGTAGGCAGTTGGCCACCTGAGGGATTGACTCTGCAACTGTTGTGCAATTTACAACCTTTGGAAATACACCCCCTCTTGCACTTCATCTAGATTTCTTAAATGGAATTCTCTCAACTTAAAAAACATACATATACATTTTAAGAAAAAAATGGCAATTCACATACTCCATCTTCCATCAGCGCCCACTATGAAGCTCAATTAACCTTTTGAGTGGATCTCAGTCTCTTGCATCTCTCTTCATTTTCTCTCAGATTCCACTGGGGGCTTTTTCCTCTTCTGACATTATATCCAATTTTCTATGAATATTTTCCTTGATTTTTCCCTTCTCTGACTGACCTTTTTTTTTTTTTTAATAAACTTTTATCATTTGCTCTCCTTTTTCTAGTTTTGACTGCTGTTCTCAGAGGACATCATTTATCCATTCCCAATTACCCAGCTTTCAGTCACTTTCCCAGTTGTCACATCTAACTTCCCATGGTCATAACCACCCTGTTCCCCAAGCATCACATAACATAAAACACCTTTATATTAAAAAATTCACAACAGTCATCACCGTAAATAAAAATAATTACACCCTAGTCACAACCTGGAACCAATCTCTATTGAACAAGCCTTTCTGACACTTAAAAGAGGGTGCTGTTACAAACTAATATGAACTACTTTAAATATTCTAACGAATTAGAAAGTGTTAATTTGGCTAGAAAAAAAACCCAGCCAAATTACCTTTATTAACTAAACTCTTACTCCCTTCAGGTCATTAAGGACAATACTCAACACTGAAAGAAGTTTTTAGGTGCCTAAATTCCTTATAGGATCTTCGCCTGAGTAACTTTCTCGAAAAAAAGGATTTAAGAGCATATACTGAGCAGTTGTGCATTAAGAACACTATGAATACCTAAACCAGGAAAACCAAACCCACCCAGTAACTTAATTTTCAAACCAGGTATTTTATTGACATCTTTGTTCAGTCAGCCCACACTTGGAAAAACAATTTTTAGTTAGACTCAATATATGGGATTTGGAGTAAGTTTGTAAGAACAACTATTACTGTTGCTAGCAACAAGTTCTGAAGTTAGCCAACACCTACTGCAAAAATAGAGGTGGTCTTAAACCCTGATTGAGCATTCAGAATTTGCATTTTTCTCAGTGTTTTTCCTGTTACTAAAAGGGACCACAAACGTGGACTGATTGTATGGCTGATTTCAGCTGAAGCATAAAGTCCAATTCCATCTGAAGTAAGTATGAAAAAATGTATACCAGGACCAAATCTGCTATGCCCTATGTTGAAAACAGATATTGTTCGCAAGGAATGATTAGAAAACCATGAACAAATATACACTGGTAGGTGCATTTATATTTACCCTAGCTTAGCTGAGCTAACATTACCAGGAATAGTAATCCCATTTTATATGAGACTCTATTTTAGTAAGCTCTGTATAAGCTTATATTAATGACAGTTAAAACTCTATAAAGAGTTTATGACATTAAAGGCTGCTTTTTTGATTAAGATGAGACAAGAAGAGGATATGCAGAGGCAGAAAGAGCACACAGCACTGTGGTTTCCATTGCACTAGCACTCTTTTTTTTTTTTACTGTAAGTTGAAGAAGATTTAATGATCCCTAACAATTCTATTAACCAAATTGTTACAAGGTTAGTTAAATTTTGTCAATCCTACAATACTTGGAATCCTGTCTGAAGATGTGGCAGGTGGTTCTGCAAGCATCATTAGAAACACTTCTACAGTATGGGCCCAGGAGAGTATATTTTTGTTTAAAAAACATGTTAAGTTTTACATTTAGATATGTCACATAAAAACAGACTTTGTAATAAATTGAGACAGAAGAGCGTTCCTGGAAAGGTTACTGAGTATGGAGAGAAAGGTTTCTATAAATGGTTCCAATTCAGACAAAATACAACAGGGAAACAAACTTGGAGACTCTAAAATCCCGAAAACTTATAAAAATATATTTCCTTATGTCATAAAAATATTTTTTATTCCAAATCCAACCGTTTGGCTTCTTGTGATAGTCAAAAGCTGGAGATACTCGGCTCTTTAAAGCTTGAAGAGGCCATTAAAAAAATCCTTTTATCTCTTTAATTAGCCTGCATTCAATGGGCAGTTACAGATGTCCCTGGGGCTAAGTGGTATGGCCTGGGCTCAGCTGAAAGGAGCCGCGAGAAAGCTTCAGTATGGAAGTCCTGGTTTTATAAAGCACCAGCTAAAGAAGGCTCTCCTACGAGCAGTGTAGCAGCTCTACCCGATTCAGCAGGGCTGTGGAATACATATGCACATCTACACACCTGGTGATGAGCAGTACTGCAAGTGGACTACAAGGAAGACCAGAGCAGAGGCAGATCTCCGCGTACGTCGAAGCGCCAGGTCCAGGTTAACCACAGGGAAAGGCACACGCCACCTCCCCTCACGGGAGGCGAGCGCCCCCGGCTCCATGCGCAGGCCGGCTGACACGCCTGCGAGCCACCCTGCCTCACCACGCACAGCCGTTCTCCCTCTTATCGCCGCACGCTCTCGCCACACCTCGCGCACGTTTTCTCTCATAGACCAACACCCAGAGCCTCAGCCTCACGTCGGCTGCCACGCTCGCTCCCAGCGCCACAACGCCAGCGCCTCTCTCTCAGATGAGCACCTCAGCCTCACAACGACCGTTTTTCTCCTTCACCCCCCTCCCCGAGCCTCTCGTCGGCTCTCTCGCACACCCGGCATCGTAGGTTCATGCCGATTCCTACACCCCCACAGCCGCCTCAGCCTCGCTCTCTCATACACACACACGTATCACACACTCTCTCCCTCGCTCGCTTTTCCTTGCGCCGTAGCCCGCCGCGCCCTTCCCCTCACACCGGTGCCCGCTCCCGTGAGGCGGCGCGAGGGCTGCTGCTGCGGCGGCGGCCGCACAGGGGGCGCTCGGCGCCTCCCGGCCA